GACTGTTTCTAATAAATGATGAGAAACTCAGACCAAACACACGAGACCTTCCTCTCAGCCAGACATCATCCAGAGGCATGATGATTCAGAGTCAGAGCTACCTCTGCAGCACTTATAACGCTAGCCATCTTTACATTGCTCATACCTAACCACTGATTGACATTCACACTTAAAGTGCAGTATGTAAACTGCAGTATGTCATTCAGGGCAAATAGAGGGGTAAAGGGGAAATGACGCCTTTGACAGGAAACTATATCAAATGCAACGCTACCTTGGATAAAATCACATCTCTTTCTCTGTGTTGAACGTTGTTGGAGACATGTAGGATGCACATATAGGATGTGGGAATAGGACTTACTAAACAGGAATTTACCCGACCATCACATCCAACACAAAAGTAGGATGAGCATTAGGGAAAGAATATTCAATTCTATTTTTTTTTTTACTAATATTGCGATTGTTTTTTGATATAAAATGTGTTGAAAAATATATCAGAATGAACATAGTGTGATTTTCTAAGAGGATTTGCATCAACAATCATTTCTTATTAAGCCACAGAATATTGTTTGTAGGAGTGGACTTCCCAGCAGCTCCAAAATACCAATTTTCAACAATTTTACATATTTTGCTTTTACCAAATATTATGCTTGCTATGTTTTGGATAATGCATTCGTCCGTGTTGCAATTACGAGAGCATTTGAATAAATGGTGCACCCTAATGAGCTTTATCCCCCTGACACCGAGGATCCATAAAACCAATACTAAAAGACAACAAAGAGACATATTGAATAATGTTATACGCATGTTGCAGTGCAGGACCCATGAGAATAATTCAGTACATTCCCATGTTGCTAATTCTGAGCATACGCAGCAAGATGGGGATTTTTTTTTCACGACATCTGCAGAAACGGATCAATTTAAACCCCAGCAGCACGGAGAGAGTGCTGCAGTGTCAGCTGAGGCTACGCTGTCAGCAGCAACAACACCATGCAGCGGAGCGGACATAAAAGATGCTGCAGACATTAACTGCACCTATACGTGTGCATTGCATCGCTAGAAATGCGTCTTTCTTCATGTTCAGTGGATCAAGGAGGTTCTAAACTATGTGAAGTTGTTAATAAAATATGGAGCCCGTTTATATCTTTCATAGACACTCTGGATATTATGCGTAACAGATCAGATGAGTCCTTTTGGTTCATATTATTCTTATTGTAAGAATATTTTAGCTTACAGTTTTCCCTTATTATTATTTATTTAATAATTGTGTTTCTTCCCTGACGTTGAGGCAGGATGGGGATGGGATGTTTAAAATAGAAAACTGAAATTGAGCATTATGTTTCTGTCCCTTTCTTATTCTGTAATTGTATATGTTGTACTTTTAATGCTCAATAAAATATATATATATATATATTAAAAAATATATAAGAAATGCGTCTTTCTGTGTGATTGTACGTGTGCTTTGCTGTGAGGTAACAGCACTGCGTTCAGCCCTGGGCGGCGGCAGTTAGAGGAGCATTAGTGTCGGACAATATCATCACGGCTGTATGAGCAGAGAGAAAACATTTAACCCTGAGGTGGAGCGGTGCCACGCAATGCATTAAGGCACCAATAGTGAGGTGTCTGCACTTTGGTTTAGTGCTTAATCTGTGCTTAGACTGTGGTTCAGTCCATTCCTAATGTAAGAGCTGCTACTCACAAGAAAACCTCCGTAAGTCCATGGAAGAAGCTAAAGGAAGTGGTGCAGGAATTAGTTCGCATTTTAGCCCTTTCTGTTCCATCTTCTCAAAGTCAATGATTTTAGAAATGAGCTTTTGGTTAGGTGTCTGAAATCTGAGGTCTGTGCTGAAGAGATTTTTACATTTTGTTCTACGACATAAAATAAGTCAGTAAATCGTCTTAAGTGTTAGTGTCTAAATGAGACGACAACTACAACGTGCATAACATTAGCCACATTTAGCTTAGCTGTGGTGACATGAACCAATGTGACCGTGATGTAGTTTATTTGTACACTAAATGCTTAACTCTGGCGATTGCATTCATACTACTTTTCTAATTATTGAAGCATAAATCAAATCACCAGAAGTAAAAGCTAATGTTAGGCTTTGAACACACCACCTCTGAGCAAAAGGTGGCCAATGCTAGCTTAACGGTTTACGCTTCAACAATGATATACGTGTTTTTAATATGCAGAGATTACCCTGTTGATGAAAATGTGGAAGTATATTAAACGTGTGTTAGCCACGTATCTTAATTTCTGCGATATTCCAGTTCTTGCAACTTCTGGGTCTGCCTAAAGAAATACATCACCTCTGCAGCACTCGATGCGCAGTTGGCAGTGTAAATCCTCTTGTTTTAACCTGACACAGCAAAACCAACAGGTACCTGTCAACATGTTATGAGAGGCAGCTGTACAACTCGGTCCCTTTCTCATGAGCTACACTCTCACACACACACACACACACACTGAACCCTGAGGGGGACGCACTTGGGTGTGGATCCCTTGTAAATTCCTTGAAGGCCTGTTGTCGTACGCTGGCTAACCAAGCAGTGTTGTTGAGATAATATGGGAGGTGTAGATATAGGCAGCCTAAGCACTCAGATGCTACTCGCTGCATTGCAAACCACTCAGTGTAAAAGCGGTAAGGATTGACTCCTTTCCTCGAGGGCTCAAAGCTAAGCAGGTGGGTTAAAGGGATGATGCGACACCTCTGGACCTCCGAAGATACACTGAGAGAATCAGCGAGAGGGGGGATAAAACGCGCTGAATGTGCACATGTGTCATCAGCAAATCAGGAACGTTTTAAGGGAAAGGAACGTTTGCAAAATCACCACATCAACAGGCTATAATCAATCTGCACAATGACGTAGATACACATCTTGTAACAACCAACATTTAACACAATATATATGTTGATGTATTAACCTGCCCTAATTCAAAGAAAGAATCATTACTAGCTTGACACGGGACATCATTGTTTAATTGACAAAGTGCAGAAATCCCTCTGTCTGGTTGCAGATGCAGAGATTGCTTACTTGCCTACATTGAGGAGGTTCTATCCACAGTGGAAATTAAAATACAGATAAGGAACCTGGTACCAAAAGTGCGTCAAGTGAAGTGAGGCACAAAGAGTAAACAGCGACTCTTATCTGAACGTTAAAGTACAGTATGGAGAGTTGTCACCCAAAACAGTGGACTGTAAAGGTTTACGTATACAATGAGCCTGGTGGTGTTTCACCTTTAAAGTGCATTCCCACATGGAACCAACACCCCTTTACACCCGTCTATTTACTACCATCAACCTCCATTTAGCGTCATTTCCTTTCAAGAGCACTCATCTGTTTACCCTAAACCGGCAGGGGGAAGAACAAATGGTAGGGGGAGGAGAGGAAGAGTTCGACAACCTCTACTACACAATGTTAAAGCAGGTATCTGTTTTAAATGTTGTTAAAGGACATGTGCAAATGCATGAAGAGGGTCTGTTACCAAAAGACTGTTGTAGCTGTGTGTTCATCAACAGCAGCTCTGTGTATCTGTTGTGCTAAAAGAAAGGGGGGTCAAAAAGTACTCCTGGCAACAACTGCTGTGTGTGTGTGTGTGTGTGTGTGTGTGTGTGTGTGTGTGTGTGTGTGTGTGTGTGTGTGCTGAAACAACTGTGCCTTGGCACCTGTCTCCCTCAATCCGCAGACAGATGAAATTTGAACTGCACGGACAGCTTGGATGACAACGTGGAATCGCTCGGCAGAACCTCGGCCTCCTCGCCCTTCTGTGTGCACTTGACGTAACATGACACACGCACAGCCATGTGGAATATAACATGACACATGTGTGCAGTCGAGCAGTACGGGATGTACATGCATGTCAACTCAGGGGAGGAGTTTGCCATCTGGTGTCTGAATGCACCTCCATAAAATCAAAGCAAGCGAGGCCCCCTGAAGGCCCAGAGGAACCCAGGCACAGAGAGGAGAACATGCTAGAACAGAGCCGGAGAACCTCAGGCTGTGTCTTAGATAAAGTAGCACAGACACACCCACTGTATGATAAGAGAAGCCTGGCACATTTTAACTGTACATCATAAATCAAAACTCATCTTTTAGAACGGTGTGTTGTTTTTATGAACGCTAGCATGTTAAGTCTCTGAAAAGCACTCTATACGTTTTTGGTGCAGGGATGATTGTAGGCTAACCTGGATGTTAGCATCGCTATGGTTCCCTCGACAGAAAACCAATTGGCTATCTCCATTGGATTTTGCAATTTTGCAGAAATAATAAAGTCTGTGGCAAACACATTTGATGATACTTACACGTTAAATATAAACGTATACATAAATGCAATCTCCAGTAGTAAAAAGTGAACGTTAAGCTATTAAGGAACAACATCACGGTCACATCCGTTACGCTAAAGGCGGCTAACGCTCAGCGTGATGACATTTGGTATTTACTGACGTTAAAAGTCAAAATATGGTAAGCTTGTGATGAACACAGATTTGTTCCTGCCCCATTCAAAAAATATTGGATTTGAGATAAATGAACCAGAAGTGGTAAATGCTAACTCATTTCCATGATTTAGGACTCATTCCTGCACCACTCCAAATGGTGCAGTGTTAAGTAACTGTTTTTTATAGAGTGACATGAATGTTGACATCAGCATACTACTCAACAGACACCTCTCTCTGACACAAGTGGCAGCATGTTGCTAAAATACAGAGCGGTATCTACATCAAGGAATTATTCAAAACACACGAGTACAAAGGGTTAAAAAAACGAAAAGTGAAAGCTGCAGGGACAAGCCCCGCTGTTTCTCTGATGCTCGGCCAAAAAAAAAAAAAAAAAGGCCTCACCTGGGCCAAGTCACAGCAAACCCCCTTTAAAAAACAGGCCATAATATAATATAAACACCAGCAATTACAGGTCCAATCAAGACAACGCCACGACATCGTTAACCACCGTTTGTTTATCTTGCGACACGTGCACGGTTTGACGTAAAGAAGCGGTGAACTTACCGGTAGCATTGCTTGGTAGTACAGCCCCATCATGGTCTGATCTAGAGGAACAACTGCTGCCCAGCTCTCCCCTTCCCTCTCGTTTTCTCCTCCTCCTCTCCCCCGCTCTAAGACCATGAGCCGACGATGGCTTCAGTCCACGTCTGTCTCACACATTCAAATTCTCCCTCGTTTCCACTCCCCTCTTCCTCCCTTTTCGGTGTCCCTTCTTGCACTCCTCGTCCAGCCTGTCACTTGTTTTTTTTTTTCTTCCTCTGATCTCCCTCGGGCCTTTTCCGTCTTTCTTTCTCTCTGACAGCTTCTCTTTGCTCTGTCACTCACACACTTCGCCTTGCTGCTTCTTCCTCTTGTTCCCGCCCACCTTTTAAAAAAAAACTTTCCCTCCCTCGCTCACTCACTCACTCAGTCCCTCCTTGTTATATATCATCCATCCCCTAAATCAGAAAGATGTTGTTTCCTTTCAAACAAGAGAGAAAAGGGAAGCAAGTAGAATCTTCAATCAGCGGATACAGGAACAAGTCTCTCCTTTGTAGATATCATCCATCCCTAAAATTAGAAAGATGTCTTCAAAAACCCCTCGAGAGAAAGAGAAAAAGGGAACCAGGAAGGAAGGAGAATCTTCTATCCACGAGTGCATGAACAAGTCCCTACATCATCCATCCCTAAATCAGAAAGATGTCTTCAGAATCCCTCCAGAGAGAGAGAGGAAGGAGAATCTTCTATCCACAGGAACAAGAAGGCGACCCCCACTGCATTGCAGCGTTTTTTTGATGATTTATTTATTGCAGCTCCAAAAAAGCAGCAGTAGGTAGGTAGGCCAGTCTGTAGCCAAGCTAGGTAGCTAGAGCTGCGTGGGTAGCCTGCTAGATCTCCCTGCTTGCACACCACAAAGATAGAAGAAGTCGCCCGGATACTAAACCTCAACATGCACATGAATTTCGCTGCATTGCGCCCTTTTTTTTTTTTTTTCAAACTGGCTCAGTTCCTCGCTTCTTCCCACCACTGGTATTGTTATAGGCGGCGCTTAATTGGCTGAGATGAGAGTGCAGTTCCTTGCGCCGCATTTTCATATGGGGGAGGGACTGAACTCTGCATGGGGGGGGAGGAAGGAAGGAAGGAAGGAAAAAACCATGATGCCAAGCTTTCAGACATCTGCTGAGGCTGGCGAGAACTGATTCCAGAGGGATGGTAGGGTAAGTGATTGGAGAGAGAGAGAGGGGGGGGGGGGGGGGGGGGGGGGGGGGGGAAAGGGGGTAAAACAGAAAAGAAGCAATATGCTGGGACGGTGGATGCTAGCGAGAGATAACAGGATAAATAGATAAAGGGCCGGGTGAAAGAGAAGAGAGGCAGGGATGACGGGATTAGGGGCTGTAAGTGAGGAGGATGAGAGGATGAATAGGGGATGATCTGAGGATTAAACACACACACTGTGATAAACACACACACATAATGTACACAGAGATGTGATCGTATTCAGGCGGCTGCACTGTGGCTGGCACTCAAACAAAAGGAGCTATATATACACAACACACACTCATCAGTTCAAACAGAGGCCTGACACACACACACACACACACACACATGTTTTTATAAAGGAGTAATCCACAAGACTTTTAGGAGGGTTGCAGTTTGCTATGTGAGAGTTATGACCGGAAGTAAGCAGCGCTGCACCGATTAGCGTTCGAATTAAACTTTAGCATGAATGTCTTTGTGATGACTCAAACTCACTGCATGTATTGTGATATACTCGTTTTTACATTTGTATTATTGTTAGAGTTTGAACAGTGTGCACATTTATACTTTACCTAATATGTTTAAATAGATATTTCTATTCTTTTTTTAATTGCTACAATCAAAATTCTACAAAAACAGTTTTTGAAGTAAAAGTAAAATTCATATTTTATTTTTATTTATTTATAGTTAATACGTATTTTTATATTAATTATTTTGAAACATTTCTTATTAATTTACCGGTACTTCCTATTTTTTTTTATAAATATCTACATTTTATTTGATTGTATCTTTTATTGGACATTTTGTACGCTAACTTTATTGTTCACTTAAAGTGGACCTATTATGCTATATTGGAAAAATATATTGTAGGGCCATACCTATACAAAACTGGTCTGTGAAGTTTTGTGCTTAACATACCAAACAGATCCCCCATTGTAGCCATGCCTCATACTGCTCAAACCCCTCTTTTGCAGCCCTGTAGAGAAACACGGATTTTGGGTCCTTAGCTTGAAAAAAAAGAAAAAAGAGGAGGCGGAGCTAATGCCTGATCAGAATTCTACCGGAGATAAAGTTAAATTCTGCTGTGATAAAACGCCATCCTGTTCTAAACCACATCAAGGATTATTTCTGAAACAGTATGGAGCTCAAATGCCTTTTCTCTTGCAGGTTTTTCACAAGGTGAGTTCCTTTTTTTATTTCCTGCTTTTTAAACACATGTGCTCTCCAGTACAGGTTAGCGCTGAGTGTTAGCGAGGCTTGCTAATGTAAACAAAGACGAGATTACGTCCAAAACACGTCAGGCATTGTTTCTGATAGCAACTCTGTGGCTCCCCCGCCGATTTGACGTCAGATCGACAGCAAATCTGTATCCGCTCGTTCTACCCCCGTTTTTAAAAGATGTGGGTACGGAGGAAAAGAGAAAGGGTTTTATTTTCTGACGCTGCGTGTGTTCCCCGACACATATTTATGTACAAAAGACATCAAAAAGTACATTTTGCATGATAGGTCCCCTTTAAGTGTGAAGCTTCTAGGTTTGTTTGTTGTTGACACGGATCATTTGTGTGACCTAAACAGCAGGAAGCTGACTTTAATGGCCCCAGGGGTCAGAGTGGACACACACACACACACACACACACACACACACACACACACACACACACACACACACACACACACACACACACACACACACACACACACACACACACACACACACACACCACACACACACACACACACACACCACACACACACACACACACACACACACACACACACACACACACACACACACACACACACACACACACACACACACACACACACACACACACACACACACACACACACACACACACACACACACACACACACACACACACACACACACACACACACACCTCCCTCTCTAAAGTGTACAGCAGCAGCAGGGACCCCCATGCGCCTGTCACCACTTAACACACTCATATTGACACAGGCAGACCTACAGGCAGCTCAAACATGCGCACGTAACACCAGACGGGCATTACCGAGACAAATGTGCTGCAGCCAGGCTGGGCTAGCCCCTGCTTTGCATGAAAACCAGCAGCCAGTGTTCGGGAGACTCCCCGTGTGTGAGCTCAGAGCAGAATACATTATCAGGGACGACTTTGAAATCTTTTATTAAACGAATGCTGCAGCGTTTGAATTGACCAGATGAGTTAAGATGTACTGTTCTCTGACCAGGTTTCTGTCTTACAGGTGAAACTGAACCTGTTTTATATGTTCCATGTCCTCTTGGACTTAAAATCACACTGTACAAATATATTCAATTCAATATTCCATCCCTCACATACTTATGGATATATAATAACGTATACTATATTTTGTTTTTGTTAATTTGTAAATTCAACATGTATATTTTCTACTTTTTTTTAAATTTGTATTGTTCAATGCCATGTCTTTTATGCTGCTGCAACACAAACAATTCCCAGATTGGGATCAATAAAGTACTATCTTATCTTATCTTATATATGTTGCTCTGTTGGAGGAGCCTGTGACTTAAGATGTTCATTGCCATGTCTACACTGTAGCTAATGTGCCAATGACAATAAAGCTTTGAATCTTGAAAATAGGCAGGACTGTATGTCGTGTTTTGATGTCAGGGGCGTCCCATTTCACATATCTCAAGGCTTTCATTGTCATAGCTACAGTGTAGTTATGACAATGAAAATCTTAGGTCACAGGCTCCTCCCACAGAGCAACACAATAAAACAGATAATAGTGCAAGTAAATACTATCAAATAGAATATAATAGAAACAGTGCAGAATAGTCTATATACAAGTAATTGGAATATTGATATATGTGAGTTGCAAACAGACTGTTAAACACCTGAACCTTTGAAAGAACATCCACAACATTCATCTGATGGCCTGTGGGATGAAATATCTCCATTCTTTCTCATGATTGTACTCCTGACTGTTTTTTTAATAGATACATGCAGCGTCCGTCTCCCTCTTGGAGATCTGTATTCCCAAGAAAGGAGATAGAGGATGTAATCAAAAAAACATGAGGGGTTGTAAGAATCTCCCTTGTTGTGATTTGGGGGGAACAGACCAACACTCCCCTCCTGTGGCACTACCAGAGAGCTACACACACACGCTCTCAGATACACACACAACACACACGCTCTCAGATACACACACAACACACACGCTCTCAGATACACAACACACAAACACAACACACACGCTCTCAGATACACACACACAACACACAACACACACGCTCTCAGATACACACACACACAACACACAACACACACGCTCTCAGATACACACACACACAACACACAACACACACGCTCTCAGATACACACACACACAACACACAACACACACGCTCTCAGATACACACACACACAACACACACGCTCTCAGATACACACACACACACACGCTCTCAGATACACACACATAACACACAACACACACGCTCTCAGATACACACACACAACACAACACACACACTCTCAGATACACACACACACTCTCAGATACACACACACACACACACACACACACACACAACACACACACACACACACACACACACACACACCACACACACACACACACACCCACACACACACACACACCACACACACACACACACACACACACACACACACCACACACACACAACACACACACACACCCACACACACACACACACACACACACAACACACACCACACATCACACACACACACACCACACACCACACACACACACACACACACACACACTACACACACACACACCACACACACACACACACACACCACACACACACACACACACACACACACACACACACACACACACACACACACACACACAGCTCACTGTGCTCTGCTGCTCGGAGGTAGATAAGGCAAGAGTCAGCTGCACACATACGGCGCTCATTACTCACGGCAATATGCAGGCAGAGAATGAGAGAGAGGGGGGGTAGAGCGTGTATTGTGCAAACAGACGGAGTGTGCAGGGCTTAGCTTAAAGAAGGTGATAGCCTAATTTCTCTTCCTCAGGGTCAGGCGTTTGATAGAAAAGCTCAGTCGCTACCAGTTCTCCTTTCATCAATTCTTCTAACTGATATCTTTTATTCGCTACCAAAAGGGTGAAGCAGAAAAGAAAAATAATGATGTCGGGTGTAACGGAGCGGTTTTAGAAATAGATGGAAGACAGATGGTTTCTAAAAGTATCCAGGTTTTAAATTTGGACAGAAAATGTCACTTGATTTTGAAGGAACCACTGATTTCTTTTTTGTATTCTTCGTTTATTCCCCTGGTTAAACACTGGCTCAGAATATTTCATATAATATTATTTTTATCCGAAGGGAATTTGTTTTCAAATGCTCCATTTAAGAATTAAATAAGAAAAATAAGAATAAATGAATAAAATATTACAAATAGAATTGTAATATCTATATGTAAATATAATAATTTTGAATAATAATGTGTAAATTAATAAATCCAAATTGACGAAGTAAAAGTAAAAATGTGGACATTTAGAGTGATTCCCCCACAAAGAAAAATAAATACAAATATGTATAAAAAAGTAAGTAAATAATAGTTATAGTAATACTTTTTTAA